GGTGGAGAGAGGGGTTGTGTGGTACGCTCACGAAAGGTTATGCGGAAAGCCTGGATGTTGTTCGTGTTATAATTATGGTGCTTATTCGAGCTGAAGATGCCTGACGGTTGGGAGTCACAGACCCACTGGGGCGATGCGTGATCAGATACGGCGTGACACAGGGAAAAAGCTAAGGACCCATCAAGTGAGGACGATGTTGATGCCTGTCTGACGGTCAGCAGTGTGTGCTTAGTGCTGCTGTTCAGGATGAATAGGAAGAAAGGAGACAAGGGATTTGAGAGCCCAAGACCATATAAATTATAAGTATCCATTTTTTTCAAAATTGTTGTACTTGAGACCAATGTGCATTCGAAACAGACCGCAGGCTGATCAGTAATTATCCACTGATAGAAGGCTGGAACTATAGTTTGCAGTATAGCAATATATATGTTGTAGATACTGTATCGTGTAATCTCATGGCCAGTGAACTATGTCAACCATGCAGCCTCTTCTTCTTTTTTTAAAAAAAAATTGCATTATGCATTTAAATTTCCAAACAATATCGGCACTACAGATCATACTATCATGTTTCATTCTTAGCATTGGCTAGGAGTTCACGCTCTGGTCGTTTGACATAACAGATTTTTTACAAATAAAAAGGAGTTCAGAGCACCTTGAACATCTGTGGCAAGCAGCTTTACTGAGTAAATCAGCATTTTTACACATTCGTTGTTTTGATTGTAACCAAGCTGTAATGCAGTTGGTTGTTAATTGCAGCGGATTTCTCTGTGTTTGTTCCTCTTTGATTTTTCTGTAAATCTGTTAACACAGATGTATTTTAAATAGAATTACTCCTATTAGCATATGCATTTTAATACGTAGATAACATTTGAATCCCTCATTGGAAACTAGATGCCATCATTTTGTTGTAGAGATTTCTGTGGCACTTACTGAAATGAAGCAAAGTCATTTGTTAATGCACAAGTGTACTAGTGCGTGCACATAATCTGTGACGTGGCGTAAAATTTGAGTACTTGTGAGGTTGGAACTTGAGTTAGGACTGGCAGTACTCTAAATTCTGATGAAGATGCAACACACTACAGAAAGATATAACTTTAAATAACTTTTTTAAAAAGCTGGAATTATTATTTTATCTCCCATTCATACAGAGTTTTATTTACCAAGTGTTCAGATACATGATTCAAAAATTGAGCATGCATCCAACTTGTTTAAAATACCCACCTTGGTTAATATATATATCACCATTATTTAAACAAATAAATTCCTATGACATATTAATTGTAAAAACATGCTGTAGTATATCTTTTTTCATGTATAGTACCTGCTTCTGTAAACTATGTGTGAGAGTCAACTTACCGGGTGAATGTTCTGCATAATCTCTGGTTGCAAATACTACAACTGAATGCCATTTCTAATATTGCGTGTTTTAAAGTGTTAGACCTTGATTTTATACAATTAGTAATGTTATGTTTTTACATATTCTTTGATGATGTTCAAAAACTGTGTTGTTATCCTCTTGTATTATCAGTAATATTCACACTGATGTGATACTTTGAATTTACTGGAACTTTTCTAACTTTGTGTAACTTCTTTTCATGATTTGGTTTGGACCACTTATGTAAGAGACTTGGATCTTTCTGAATTCTCCCTATGATAAGTATATGCTGTATGTAGTATATCTTTTGCAATATTACCTTCTATATACTATCTATGTTACTATGTTTATACACACTATCTCTCTCTATATACGTACTGTATGATTTCTTTTTTTTTTTTTCAACTGAGTTAAAATGTCATTTAAAATGTTGATATTTGTCCACATCCCCACTTATTTTAAATTCCTTTTTTTTTTTTTTTTCCAGCACGACTCACCAGGTAGTTTGTATCAACAACATAAATTTTCAGAGAAAGTCTGTTGTAGTAAGTACTTTTTAAAATAAAATATGAAAGTGGAAATAAAAAGTATGAATTTTCTTAATGTTTCATAGGAAGCAGTTACACACAAGCTGATTAGGTTCTTCAGCTTCTTTACTTTATTTGCTTTCTAGTCAGCTGCCTCTCATAAGTCTGTCATTTCTTGAAACATGTATCAGATAAGACATCTTGTAATAATGAACACTTTAACCTCTGCAAGGAGAACTTTTCTTAGGAGGTCATTGCATTTTTAGTATTGCAAAGCAATTTGCAGTTCACTGTCAGTTGACATTAGGTATAGGGTTGTAGAGTTTTGTAGCTTCAACTGAGTTCACTTGGACTTTGAAGAAACTTCACTGCTTTCAGGCTGGAACTCGTTGGAGCTCTTTGTGAATTTAAGTATCTACCAAAATGGATTCTGCTTAGAGTTTAAAGATCATTGTTTCAAGCTCAAATGCTGGAACCTGAAACACGGTGATAGGAAAATATGCTGGTAACTTGAAATCTAGTCAGTAGAGGCACATCATTTCCAGAAGATTCATTTTTTCACTTGGTTATCTTGAAGTTGTTTTTTAAATTTCGTAGCTAGGGGAATTCACCTGGTAAATTTATTTTAGGCGCACAGAAGGGAAACACAATTCCCTTTTTGAGTGCAACATTGACATTTGCATTAATTTTCCCTATGATTTTTCCTTTGAAGATGCACTAATAAGAACTGATACTTTATATTGTATTTCTTTACTTCTCTGTGAATCGATAAAGATTTTAACAGAAGGTGTTGATTTGTGTTTTCATAGGGTTATGTGGAATTAACAATATTTCCCACGGTTGCAAACCTGAATAGAATCAAATTGAACAGTAAACAGTGCCGGATTTACAGAGTAAGAGTCAATGATTTAGAAGCAGCTTTCATCTATAATGATCCAACGCTGGAGGTTTGTCACCATGAGTCAAAGCAGTAAGTGATATGTTTAAAACTCTGCGGATGTAGTGTCGTCTTTTGCTTTAACCGTGACTTATTTTATTTTACTGGCAAGTTTTACCGGATGATTTCCTTATGGTAATGTCATTGTCAGTCAGAATCCGTTAACATTAGGTGTGGTGATTTATTTCAGGGTATAGTATTTATTCTTTTATTCTTCTTTTTTTTAACTAAGATTTCTGTGTATTGTTTTGCAAACATATTAGAAGTTTTTTAAAAAGTACTTGATGGAGGAAAAAAATAGTGAATACCAGTTGTGCTGTCAGTGCTTTAGGCCGTTGTCCTTCTCATATGTTTTTCCCATGGTAAGAGAGTATCTTTGGCTAAAACGTTTTGTGTGTGTTAGACTTAATGGGTGAGTTAAGATTTATACACACACAGTTTTACACTCCTG